CCCACCACACCATCCTTTCTTCCTGTCCTCCCCAAACCACGGCTTTTGGTTTTGCCCTCTGTGGAAACAACACCCCGAGCAGCTGCATTTCATGTGACACATGCTGTTATTCGCAGCACCCAACGTTTTGCCCCACCATCTTGGGCTTGTAACATCAGAGAAACCAAGCAGACAAGCTCATCAGCTAGAGCAGCCGATTTACCTTAAAACCCGGGATGTTTTCGGAATACCCCTAATGAAAACAGCTAAAAGAGCAGCCCAGAGGGGTGTCCCCGAGGGTCCCAAGACCTCAATGCCATGGATCCTGCTGATTCAGCAAAACCACACATGCAATGGTGCTTGGTTGAACATCACTGTGGTAGGAAACGCTGATGACTACTACCAGCTTCTATCTCCAACGAATCCATAGCCTAGAGATCAAAAATCATCATTTTCCACCTCCCCAGCATAGCAATTGAAGTTGTTTCGCGAATCCTGGCGAGACCTGCTTCTGAGGAACCCCTGAAATGTTTCACCCCAGGCCTGGAAACCTCCACAGTGGTGCAGACACCTGGGCTTTGGCCAGCCCTCCCCACAGCCACGGCCAACCCACACCGTCACATCACACCTCAACAGGCATCACCGACAGCCCTGTTACCTTCCTCCGTCCAGACCCGATTGCAGCACGAACGTATCCAAGATATTCACCACTGCTTACTAATAGGCTGTGGCCCACTATGGCGTGAAGAGGAAAAAATCAGGAACTTTCCAGCTTAACCCACTCCCTTCAGCCAACTTGGTGGCTTGGGGGAGGCTCGGACACTTGTTTTCCCCATGGAAAAGAGCCACCTGGCCATGTGTCTCAGCTCTCCCCCCTTGGCTGAACAGCACAGGCAGCAGCAAGTCACAACCGTGCTGGCTGCCCACTCTTTTCCGAGAGGAAAACAGGGAAGGTGGCAGCTGGAGAGAGAGGACCAAGCCTTTGTAGCAGCAGAAACGTCTCCCTTGAAGAGCTGAACATTGAGGACTATTTGGGCTCTTTTAGTCCTTCGGCCAGAGGTGCCAGCAGGTCAGCATGCCCTGCATGAACTCAGGAAAACTCCTGCAGGACCAATTTGCCTTCACGTGCTGCCTGTCCTCCAGGAGTAAGACAGCGAATGCCGTGGGGTGAGGCGCTGCGGGTGGATTTCACTTGGCTAAAACATGGGAACAACTGCATTAGGAATGTAACGTGACATGACAGGCCAGCAAGTGGGTTAGATGTCGTAAAAGCCAGTAACCGGTAGAGGGTCAGCACAGAGGGGATGTGCCTGGAGATGGGCTAACCATGAACGAAAACACCCAGAGGAGGCCACCTCTCTACGCAACTCCAGGCAAATCTGCAGTTTTCCCTACGGTGTAAGTGAACTTTTGGTGCCAGGAGCTGTTAAGGAATGTGACACATCCACAAGCACCGACTGACTAAGTAAAAATAACAGAAAAAAGTCATTGAAACATCCATCCATTTTTTTTAATCAGGCAAAAAGCCATTTACCACTCTAACAGAGTCTCCAGATCTGTGTGCTCTTAACGCCCGGCTGAGACAGCAGCTGTGCTGGCAGGTGACAGCAGCCCATGCCACCAGACACAGCACAGTTTTTAGGCCGTTTCCTCTCTTTCTCTGGCAGTAGATTTACCTCCTGCCCTGCTCTGCAGCTTTTCCAGCATATTTGAGGTGTCTCTTCAGCCCTCAGTAGAATTTTGCTGTGTGAACCGACTTCAGGAAGATCTCCTGGACATTCTGTACACATCCCCCTAGTAAGACCTCTGCAGCTCGCCAGCAGCCATACCATCTGCTGCCAGGGCAGCGGCAGTGCAACGCAAGCTGAGGATGTCAAACGTTTCACCATGCCAAAGCCTCTGTTGTGCAGAAACACCTGCAACAGCCTTGACACTCGGGCAAAGCAGAACGGTTCACGGCTTTCTGCTTTAACACACTACCAAAATGCCGTAGAGAGAGGGAAGGAGCAACGGTTATCCAGCCCTGCTTTTCATTTTCGCTGTGAACATCGATGCCCTCAGTGCATGCTCTACCTGGTCAGAGTGTTTCCCAGTGCTCTGATTTCTCCTCCCCAGTGCCGTGCTCTTAGCTTTCAGCACAGTGTCTCACCTTTTTCAAATGAGCTGATTCAGTATTTGGTTACATGCCCTTTGCTCCCTTTTTTATTTTTAATCAAAGGAAAAAAAGGAGCCAAACTGGAACTTGATACCGAGTCCTGTAATTGCAAAAGGGAGAAATCATCTGCAGCGAGTATGACGTACAGCAGCAGCAAGCATGAAATGTATACCCTGACGTAGAGCAGTAGGGGAGCAGAGACATGCTTAAGCTCCCTGGCTTCCTGCAGGATACCAAGGACTTAATCGTAAGAATTTTGAAGTTTTCAAATGTCAGAGATGACAGAGCCCTGCATAACGGGAACAGTTGAAGTGGGCTGCAGTTGCCAGTTCCATCTCCTGGGCTCTGTATACGTAATCCTCCCAAAAGGGATCTCCAGCCTCACCTGACCAACAGGAATCAAGACACAGATTTCACACGGCAAGCGAAACAGCACAGCCTCCCCTTTGCAGCCTTCCCTTCCGGGCTGGGGCAACCTCCTCAAGGATGGAAGCTGCGGACAGAGCTGCCACTGGGTTGGAGAACACAATAGGTGATGAACCAACGCCTGGGCAGCGTCCTGCAGGACCACCACGTGTGCGGGGAGCTGACAACAACAAACCTGACACCAAGATGCTGTGAGAGCTCACAAAATTCCTGTCTCTTGCTACACAATGATGCCTGGATTAAGGTTACGTTCCTCCGTGCTGCATGTTGTCACGCAGCCGCTATTTTGGTCAGAAAGTCAGCAAGGCCATATTTGGGAAGCTGTCCCACTGAAGGGCAGCATGAAGGGCAGCGAGATGACACGGCCGCTTCTGAAAGCGGGCCTGGGGGAGCTGCCGGGAGCCACAGGAAGCCTAAATCTTCCTCCATCCTTCTCGTGAACATGCCAATGTTCTTTTCTCAGCCTGACCCGCGCGTGTCTCTTTCTTCCCCCAAACCACATCCTGCGGGTGGGCTACTCTAACACCACAAGCACTCGAAAAGACACCAGGAGTTCTGAGATGAAACCCCACTTCTTAGAAAAGCCTTAGTGCTAGAAATTTACAATGCAGAACTTAAAACACGTCGGAGGCCTGCAGACAGAGCTGAAGGTGCAGCAGTACCAAGTTCTCTTTTCAGAAAACTCTTCTTGTCACAACACACATCTGCAGCGCTGATCTTCCCTTATGCAGCTGCATCAGCCACTCTGCCTCCTCCAACACCAGCAGCAACCCAAGGGGACCTCTCCCCATGCAATGTCTCCCTGCCAGCCCTGGGCCAGTGGCCGAGCCTGCCAGATGTGCATGCCAACGCGACCCACAGCTACGCCATCCTGCCTTTGTTGACAAACCGGCTCAAGCAGGACAGGCACCAGCCACACAGCTCGAGACCTCCGATACCCAGAGGCACTTGGGTACCACTGAGCCCAGTGGGATTTAAGCACTGTGCAACCTACCGCTTGCCAAAAAAAACCTCTCCAGGGAGGATTAACACCACAAGGAACCTCTCACCGCTTGACTTACTGGAGTATCTGAGGGCAGCAGGGACCAGATCACCTTTTCATCTTGACTATTCAGCAGATTCTACTTGGTGGTATGAACCCCGTGACTGCTCTCTCCTCAACTTCCACAACATTCCCAGGGAGGCATGCAGCAAAAAACAGACAGCTGAGGGTTGCAGACTTCCCTAGGACTTCGAAAGCCCTTGACTCCCGAGTTTTAAGTCATAAAATTTTACATTGCTTGGTTTAGGGCTGGGTAGTACTTTTTATTAGTCAAAAACAATTAAAAAGTGGGAACTAAGAAAACTTCTGATCAAAATATCCACCTTATTTGAAAATAACACTGCGTTTTGGTAATTGGCTAAGCTATTTTTAAAAAAATTGATTACATTAATTGGATGTTTCAGTTGCAATAGTTGTTTTTTTTTAATCCAGCAAGGATTTTGCTGCTCTACTACAAAGTCAGAGGATACTTGCTAACTTCCAACCCTTGTCTTGATCCATGGATTTACACCACCGGGTGGACGAGTGTTGGAATTGCAGTTTCAGGAACTTCGTGGCATTTTAACAGGTGGTTCATTTCAGTAATAAAAAAGCACCTCGCGAACCAGCTTTGCTGGCTGGGGGGCCTGGAGAGCGAAGCCCTCTCCTCATCTACAGGAGATGAGCAGTAACAAACCCTGCCACAGCAACTCTGGGCTGTCTGAGTGCTACTCCCCTAAGCTCACCAGCCAGCACATCCATCAGGCAGGTGTTTTTTGTCACTGGAGTGAAAGATCTCCACTAAAATACAGTAACTATGAAAAGTATGGATATTTTAGAGTCCTATAACCTTACACGTTCCCATGGTAGCTCCATTAACACTTCCATAATTTCAAGTATTTCAGAATACAACACACCACTTGCTATGATCTCTACCATCACAGCCAGCACTCTGTACCCTCCCCTTTTTCCGTATTTCCCTAGCTGTAACGACCTTACCTGGACAGCAAAGCAGCAGACGCGTAACAGCCCTCGGAAATCTCACCGTGCTGTAACAGCACCAGGGACTACGGTAAAAAATGGTGCTTGGTATGCCAGAACTCTGAACCTGCACGCCAGCACCAGAAATTATTTTACCTGTATTGAATACTGTCACCTGAGAGTCCAGGCTTCAATCTGTACGGAAAGAAACGTGGTATTTGTTTGAATTTTAACGTTTCCCTCAATAACCAATTCACAACATGCAAACAGACTGTGAACTACTAAATGCTGATGATCTGCACCAATGATTACAGCAGAACAGCGCTACAGAGGGAGCACCGTTTCACTGTGCGTGCGGATGCACGACTGCCATCTAAGGTACAACCCAAGACTTTTGGAGGGTTCTCCTAAAATCAGGAAGGTGAAGACTTTGTTACATCCAATTTTATTTTTACAAAAATGCTGTTAATGCACGCCAATAGGAAAACCGGTTCTTTTGTCCTAAACCATGTCAGTCCTTTTTCTGCTGAGCAGCCTGCTTGGCATTGTTGGCCTGCATCTTCTTCAGCCCCTTTTTGTTGTGTTTCTTTGCAAATCTCATGTTCCTCAGAAACTTGGGATCAACCTATAAAAATAAGGGAAAAATAAAAGTCACATTGTAGAAGAGACATATGTAAAAACACGTATCTCCAGATTGTTCCGATTATTCCCAAATGCTGCCTGTGATTAATTCAGATTTTTTTTTCTGATTTAATTATATCAACAAAATTATTGCAGCCATCTGTAACAATCCTTTAACTAGTCATTTGCCTTAATTTCCATAAGCAAACAAACCAAAAATCCCAGCAATAAACACAGAGAAAGAAGACGCAAAGTTGAGTAAAGCAGTAAACAACACACATTTAATTTTCACGTTACAATACATTCTGCATCTGCAGTACCACAAACCAGCCTTGGCAGGTGAGCACACAGATACATTTCACTGGAAGCAGCCGTTAGTGACACCCACCTGAGCAGGACAGAGATGGAACTGGCTAATAAATATAGACACACAAGGGAGGATTTCACATGAGACAGAAATATCCCAGCTGTATATAAGGTATGCAAAAGATGAAACAGAAACCCACAGTGGTTCTGACCACCTGACACACAAGCCCCTGTCTGCAAAAAATACGTCAGCCAAAATAATACAAATACTGGATTTTGTCACGGTTAAGCCTCAATATCTTAACAGCCTGGGCGTATCAGTACTCACCCCTTTGAGAGATTCGTATCTATGAGATCTGGGTTTCTTGATGCCATTTCTGTGCCACTTACGGGCTATGTGGAAGACCAGAAAACAAGTTAAATTACTATTTTTGCCATTATTAAACATCCTTTGCCTTATTAAATTTCCTTTAAGTCCAGCTGACCCTATCAAAATGACATGGAATAGACTCATTTTTAAGCTTTCCTATCCAAACTAAACGCAAATCACGAAAGCATCTCTATCCTCATCCCTCTGCACTGTACGCGTTTCCGATGCGAGGACTTCAGGCTCCCCATTAACTAACAACACGCCAGCAGGAACCCCACTAGCTCGTTTAAAGGTCTCGGTCACTAGAAAGTTCAAGCACCTGTGTTTAGTGTCACCACACTGCGCGAGGCCCAGCAGAACCCACCTGCGAACTCTAACGTACTGATAAAAAAACTCTAAGAAGAGCTGTTTCATCGCCGTGGGCATCTCTGGATGGCAACGTATCACAAGCTGGTTGTCACCCTGCAACGTGCTCGGTTCAAACACGCGGAACTCGCTTTTTTCCTGGTTATTATTTTTAGACGGAGCCCAAACAAGTCCTGACTCTTTTCGCTGAGCGCGGGCAGGCTGCCGTCAGGGCAGGTCCGAGCGGCCGGTTACACCCTCCCCGCGAGGCGCTGCCCT